TTGTTGAGAGCTTTCCGGGGATATAAAGAACGTCGAAAATGGAGCTCATATAAAGAAGTTATGCCATTTTGAAAATATGGAAAATCGCACGTGAAGTGTGCGACGCGTGCGATGACATGGCACCACAAGAGAGCACCACGTAGCATTGTCAGGGAAGCCCCTTTCTTCAGGGATATAGTGACGTGGCTCCACAATATTGTGACATGTGGCACCATAGGAAGGTGACGCGTGGCACCTTCTAGAAAAGGAACATGTGGACCACCGATATCGCGACACGTGGCAGAAGCACAAAGGAGCCACCACCACCCTAGGGCGCGACGCGTAGCCCCTATGTGCCGGTGCGCTTTTGGCTTTTCTAGCAAATAAATACTCCATTCTGTATAGCCTTTCATCCCCACGCCCCTACAACCTTTTTGTCTCTGAGATCTTTGCACTTTTATCCCATTTTCCTTAGATTTATGTGTTCCTGTGACGTTGTACGACCCTTGAGGTATTCAACCAAGTAGTATTCATCAAGTAGGAGCCCTATGAGTGTCATTGCTAAGCTTTGGTCAGGAAAAATCTCTATAAGTTAAGCTACACTCTAGTATTTTTAGTGTAACTTATATTTATAGTCATAAGCTGTTATAATGGACCTATAAATAAGACTTATCAGTAATTCAAAGTCATAATACTGAATAATCTACTTACGGGAGAGGTGTCCACAATGGTCACGTTGGCTTGGTTGTTGGATTTCCGAAGGGTTATACGCTGAAATGGCCCTGCCTCCCAACTGTCCTTCCTGGTTGATCCTTATTTGACAGAACTATCGGGTATTCATTGGGATTAGTGATAGGTCTATCCTACATCACTAGATTAGCATAGGAACTAATAAATTATAGTAATATAGGTTAATCATCGTTGGAGTGATGCTCATCAACCGATTTGTCTGGTTAAATGTTTATCCCTTGAGAAACTGTCCAGGTGAGTTCATCTCACTATATTGTATACTCCAGTATGTATCCACTGTATGTTAGGATATAGTTACCTGTAGTATGCAGTTAAGCAATTAGGCTACATAGTTGCCTACAGTGTTGGAATATTTCTTGCTATATGTGTTAATATATTATATGGGAGTTAAGGGCGGACCAGCTTCATGCTGAAGGCCAATAGACTCGGGTAGACTAGCTTTATGCTAAAGGCTAAGGTGCGTACCAACTATATGTTGTAGGCGAAATGGGGCGGACTAGCTTTATGTTGAAGGCCAACGAGCGGACCAACTATATGTTGAAGTCCATTATGTGTATGAATTGTGTATATGTTGTGGTATGGAATATTTTAAGGGAATTCACTAAGTCTCAACTTACAGTTGTTGAAGAGCTGTTTTACAGGTTGTTCATCAGATCGTGGAAAGGATCATGCATGATTATATTTGCATCAAAGCATCAATAAAGTTTTATAGATTTCTGCTGAGACACTCTTTTATAATTAATTATGTAATAACTGTGAAGTGTTATAAGACATATATTTTAATAAATAAAACGAAAAATTTTCCTTGAATTTCACAACACATGAGTAGTCTTCACATTGACAATGTTGTAAGCAATGTTCTTTTCCAAGGATAATCTCACCACACCAAGTTCATGTCGATCTAACAAATCTTAGTTATCTACTTCATAAGAAAAGGTTTCTCTTTTTATAAAGGTTCATGTAATTTCTTCTTATAAAGGTAGTCTTGGATTTGCATGTTCCAGAAACTGAAACCATGACCATCGAATTTTTCGATCTTAACTCTCTTATCTTCAGTCATAGCTTTTATACCAGTTTCTCAAGGATTCAACAAAAAAACATAAGCACTTTAGACAAACAATAAGCAAATTGTGTAAAACACGCGAAATAAAACCTCTGAAAACTACAAAAATAATAAACATGATATTTAATGTGGTTCAGTCAATGTGACATATGTCCATAGGAGAACAAGATAGAAGTAATTTTATTGACTTTCAAGAACAATTACAATCACTCACAATGTTGCACCTCACTTAAGCTCTCAAAACAAAAGAATCTCTCTTGCTTACAAATTGCTCCAAAGGATGTGATATCGCAATGATTGCTCTTTTGAATGTGCTTACAAAACTAACATGGGGAATAATGAAGGGGGTATATGCTTATTTATAGGCAAGCATGAGAAACTCTAATTCTAATGGGCTAGGCCCATCAATAATTAGTTTTTCTTGAATGTTTTGGGTATGAAGTCTTGTCCAACATGGAGCACTTAAAGTTGCAATGGAGCATCAAAAATCCACAATGGAGCACTTGTAGTTGGAGTGAAGCATCAGGAAGGAGAATGGAGCAGTAATGATGTGCCATTATAGTGAGGATGCACCACCTATGGCACAAGGTATGCCATCCATGCACAAGGTGTGCCACTTTGGTGCTTGATGTGTTACTCTTTTGTGTATTGTTGTGTTATGGGAATGTTGAAGTGTTGTTGATGAACCATTGAAACAGGATGCGCCCTTCATGACGAAGGTGCGCCATCATGGAGTATGATGCGCCACCAAGGTTCATGGTGCGCCATCATGGATCCTGATGTGCAACTCAGGTGTCAAGTTCACTAGGATGCTCAAGATTGTCCAAATGTTGCTCACAAGAATGAAGTTGCTCATGGAGGATGTTCCACATGGCTAATGTGCCATCTTGATGGCAGGTGAACCATCATGATGTATTATGGTGGATCATGATGCTCCATCATGTGCTTGGTTGATGCTCATGAGGTTGAAGGTTCTGGAAGCGCCCGTATGGAATTCCGTGATTGGTTGGAAATTAGGGAATCCCCTTTATTAGCTAATTATGAATGGGTCTAGCCCACCAGAATTAGGGTTTTCCGTATTTGCATATAAATAGGTTCATATCCCCATCATTATAAATTGCTAGATTTCAATGAGAGCAAAAGTGAGCTAGAAATTGTGTGTTTGTAATTGTTCCTAAAAATTAATAAAATCCTCTCTCTCTCTCTCTCTCTCTCTCACACACACACACACACACAGAGGTCACCTTGACCGAACCGCGTTAAATATTGTATTTCTTTTATTTAAGTTTTTCAGAAGTTTTATTCGGTGAATGTCATCGAAGTTTGATTGACTTTTGTTCCAAGTGCTCTACTTGTTTTGTTGTTATCCCAACAGAAAGTGGTTGGTTCATTAGTTGGATGTTAAAAATGATTTTCTTCATAATCACCTTTCCAAAACAATTTATATGCACTCACCGCCAGGTTTTACTAACCTGCAAATGCCACATCATGTTTGGTGCTTACAGTAGTCTTTATACGACTTAAAACAAGCCCATCTAGTAAGGTTCCTCGTGCTTGGGCAATTATAATTTAAGCATTGGGTTTGAGCATAGCAAGACATACTCTACCCTCTTTTTCTTAGAATGGGTAATGATTATGCCTATTTATTATTTTATATGGATGATATCATCCGTACGACTTCTGACACGACTCTCTTTCACCTGATCATCTCCTCTCTGAATCAAGAGTTTTCCATGACCAACCTGGGCCTGCTGAATTAGTTTGTAGGTGTTTCGACCACTCGATCTCAAACACGCATGTTCTTTCTCATATGAGATGTGCTATAGAGCTCCTTGAGTGAGCCTATATGTCTCTCCGCGATCCTTACAATACACTGGTAGTCATATCAACCAAGCTTGGCATCGATGGACCACATGTCTTCGGTCCCTTGCTTTACCGTAGTCTTGTGGGGGCGCTACAGTATGCCACGTTCACCCTTCCTGATATTTCTTTTGTCGACTAGCATATATGTTTGTACATGCATCCTAGAGAATCGTATTTCCATGCTCTCAAGCGCATCTTACGCTACATTTGTGGCACTATTGATCACGAACTTCAGTTATATGCCTCTACGACCATGCGCCTTATGGCCAATTCCGTCTCGGGATGCCATGTAACACGCCGATTAACATCCGATTATCACATTTTCCTTGGATACAATCTTGTCTCATGATCCTCCAAGCACCACCACACCATCTTGCTAAGACTAAGTATCACAGTGTAGCCGATCAGCTGCCGAGACTTCTTGGTTGTGTAACACTACCTCTCTTGTCTATTATCCGACACCAACGGATCAAACACATTAAGCTCGACATTCACTTTATCTAAGACAAAGTTGCTCTTGGTCACATTCACGTTCCATCTCGTTACCGGTATGCAAACATCTTACAAAGGGGTTGTCTTCTCCACTGTTCAGTGAGCTTTGTTACAGCTTGACAGTTCACCAACTTCCTACTCAAACTGCATAGACATATTAGTAGTCATGTATTATACGGCCCGTTTGTTTGTATAGTGGCCTAGGCCCATATTTTGTACGTAATCCAAATTTTTAGTGTCAAGGAAAAATTATACATGTTACTCACCTCTTAACAGTGACGATTGGTGGGACATCTCTCCTTGTTTAAGTTCTGTGTTTATGTAGATCGTATTTTAACAGTTTGGATGTACTTCAGTACTTGCTTGATTGAACATGGATCTTTCTTTATCCATATGTAACGTATGGTTAAGTTTGCTATTTTAGCGTCCAACAAACAGGATTGAATTGCAAACGCGTAGCAAAATCATTCTTTCTTCTGTCTTTCTTTTATTTTTCTGTATTGTAACAATCAAATGGATGTAAAATTTCGTAACACGTATGTAATTTCTCTCACTTTCATCTTAATGTTTATATGAAAACGCCATTTGAAAACTACATTTTGAATCCCCAAAACAAAATCTTTAAACATCAATCGCAAACATCCTTTTCATGGCTATCATCATCATTATCCTCTTTTTCCCATTGTGGCATCTTATCTTTTCTTTTCCTCAGTCTTCAATTTTTCCCACATTCCCTTTTACATCGACAAGTAGCATAAGCACTCTCATTTAATTTTTTTATTTCAATTTTTTATTGTTACAAGATTATGCTTTCAAAACTTTTCTAATCAAAGAGTACAAATCAATATATCTTCTATTTATAACCATCAAATACATCCAATAGTCCAAGCTTTCCCCAATACTGAATCGCTACCCAACTCACAAAAGAACAATATGCTACAAGGAAACAAACACGCTTCAATCGAAGTAAATAGACCATTTTAACCCTAGACATGTCGACAATACGAGACTTTAGTAAATATAACATTCTACCCAAAGCAATGGTGATTAAGGATGTTAAGAACCCGGTAATTGCTCCAAATACAACCTCCCATCTAAACCGCCTCCCTTGTGCTCTACCCGTTTGAGAAAGCCACGTCATCAACATCTCTGTTGACCTATAAAATTTTAAAATAAAATTGCGTGTTAATTGTCTGTTCATTTGTTTATTATAGCATCATGCTTTCATTTATTTTTTGTATTAGAGAATACTTGAATAGTTGATAAACTTACAGGATAAGATATCGTTTAAGCATCTCCATCATCGATGGGTGATCAGCTTGACAATTAAAAAACTCATCATAATATAAGTTTAATTTGGAAATTCCCAAAGTATACCAACAATCATAAGTTTCATTCACCTACAAAAAAAAAAAAAAAGGTGAGATACAAGTGAGGCTGCGTTGTTTAGACTGAAAAAGCTTGTTCCTGCTATTTTTGATGATGAGGATGAGAAGGGCATTTACGTCTTTTGTACAGACAAAAGATCGAGAGAAAATCAATGTCCCACCTTTTTGGGTGGGACAAAAAAGGTGAATGGCCAACAGTACAACCTCAAAGGGACAGATTGTAATGTTGTCCAGGTGTACTGACACTGTGTGTCAGGTAACTGGAATTGATGTCAACGTCAACGAGACAAATTTTGCAGTTTTTTTTACCTTTAGGTTGTACTGTCTGGCATGCACTTTTTTTGATGGTACAAAAAACTGCAAATTTTGTCTCATTGACATAGATCCCAGTCAAAGTCCGGTGCATGCCAGACAGTACAACCTCAAAGGTACAGATTGTACTATTGTACAACCGTATGTCAACGAGACAAATTTTTGCAGTTTTTTGTATCTGGAGGTTGTACTGTCTGGCATGCACTTTTTTTGATGGAACAAAAAACTGCAAATTTTGTCTCGTTGACATAGATCCCAGTCAAAGTCCGGTGCATGCCAGACAAGTCAAAGTCCGGTGCATGTCAGACAGTACAACCTCAAAGGGACAGATTGTACTATTGTACAGCCGTATGTCAGCGAGACAAATTTTGCAGTTTTTTGTATGTTGAGGTTGTACTGTCAGGCATGCACCTTCTTTGACTGGACAAAAAACTGCAAATTTTGTTTCGTTGACATCAATTTCAGTCCCAGGTGCATGCCAGACAGTACAGCCTATTCTGTTCTGTGCAGTATAAAATACCTTGAATTTATCTTTAGCCATCCAGGCAGCGTTGAAAGAGGGTCTGCAATTGGGTGGAAGGGCCTCATTAGGAGCTTCTGCAAATGCAATATGAGGATGACCAGAGTGATCTGTATATTCAACCTGAAAATTAATAACATCAGAATTCCATTTTTATAATAATAATAATTATATAAAAAAGGCTGACCTCAAATACAGAAGCCCAATAGTAATCATAGCGACATCTGAATTTCTTCTTCTCAGATGGATAAAAGACATGCTTTGCTTTATAATTCAGCAGTCCAAGTTCACATACTTTTGCTGATTTAAGATCTACACCTGCAAGAAATCTAAGAAATATCATAAAGGGTAGATATGTCAAAAGAGATTGCATTACATACATGCATTTAGGGCTATAGCAATAAAGACAGTGTTTAATTTCTATAACTCATGTAGCTAAATGCTTAGCTAGATATTGTCATAAACACAGAACACTCCACATAACATTTATTGTACTTTATGAATCCCATGTGGTTTTGGAAACTTAAAAGTTAAAAACTTGTTTTTGTACTATAATCCACCTTTGTCTTTTTTCTGGGATACAATCCACATGCCATTTATTGCATTAAGTTTCTTTTTAACTTTCTATTATCTCCCTTGAAACCAGTTGAATTTAGACTAGCAAAAGCTATACTTTCATTGATCTTCCACAAAGTATTGTTCTTTTTTGGTTTAGGGTTAGAACTCCTGTAAATCGAGATCTTCCCACAAGTTGTAATCATTTGTTCTATAGACATATATTGTTCTTTCTTTTTGCCAAAAATAATGAGCTGTTGGAGATATTCATACTTTTCAAATTGGTATAATTTCATCTTCTGAAAAGAAGATAAAGAGCCAGCAGTATCTGGTTGTTAAGCTTCATAACCAATAAGTTAAACCCTTTAAGAATTACAAAATCAAAAGCTTCAAAACATGTTAGATACATGAATAGTTAACACTTAACGCCAGAGTTTCATGATCAATCAAGTTTTTAGAATCCGAATTGTGATATAACCATAATTACATTGTGTGGTAAATAGAAGAGATTGTGTTAAACAAGCAATCAAATAATCAACACTGAAACATGTCAACTACAAAATAAAATTTGGATCCATCGTCTATCTCACAGAAAAAGTGAAAGTGTTCATGTATTAAGAACCGATGTGGTGTACTTAATAAACACAATGCAACCTAGGTAATTTTCAATTCTGATGAATTAACAACCTAACAGGAATTAGGTAAACATATTTGCATTTCACTTCAAATTGCATGAATCCAAATCATCCGCTCAAAATTAAACCTTAAATTTCACGTATTGGATGTCAAAACACTGCTAGATTTTAAGATTCAAGAGAAACTTACTGCTGGAAACTATCTTGCACTGGCAGGGAACGGAAATTGGATACGAGATCGAGAGGTTGCTGAAGATCACCGCTAAAACCACAAGCTTAAACGCAACTAAAGCCAAAAAGAATATCGACAATAAAAGAGCAATACAGCCTCGGAAGAATAAATAACCAACAGAAACCCTTTTCCCCTCATATTCGCTGTTGGTTGTTGGTTCCTCCTCTATTGGCTCCGGTGAATTCATCGTTTATAGAAACGACGGTGTGGCGGGGGGTCCGATCACCAGAAAAGTTTTCCGGTGATCGGAATATGACGATATTCTGTTTCTAAAATGAAGAAAATCGACGGAGCCTCTCTGGCATACAATGTAAGAAAGTTGCCATTCAAAGACCCCCGTGAATGCGCCACCGCTATCCATTGTGGACTTTTTAAGTTTTACATAAATGGTCCCTCTATTATGATCATGAAACATAAATTGTCTCATTATCCCATCATTTCTTCCAAGGACAAATCTTTGGTATAAAAATAAAAAAATATGATTGATCAAATTTATTATTATTAGATCAAGACATTAAGGTCGTATTTGTTTTTGGCAAAAGCTTTTTTTTACCATTACCAAAGATATTTAAGTAAAGTTTCTTTGTATTTTAGAATAGAAAAGACAACAAAAAAAAAAAAAAACAATCTTTGTAACCTTTTTCAAAAACCCAAAAAACTAGCGGTTGATTTAGAAAAACATTTTTTAGGTTGTAGCATTTTTTTTTCCACGGGACGTTGTTGTGATGTTTGTCGCCACCATTAACTGTTACTATAGCTATAGAAGATAAAGTAAAACTTAATTTAAAAAAAAAATACTTTTTACGTAGATTAACTAGAAAAATATTTTTCTTTTTGTTTTTTTGTTTGTGGGTATTATATCGAAATTAGAGAGCACAAGATTCAAGAATATAAGTTTAAGATGCTAACTCGCACTAGCTATAGATTACCCACACTTTGTATTAAATAAATATTAAAACGGTTAATGTTACAAATAAATTAATAAAAGGGAAATTACATAAAATTTATATAGTTTACCCTATTGGTTTGACCATCACTTTTTATTTTGCTATAAAAAAACACTAATGTTTGCAAAAGAATTATATTGTGGCTACTATTATCTATTACTATCGATTTCATAAAATGTTTTGAACTTTCATGGGGTTTTAACCAAAATGTGGCAGTTACAAAAAATATTTACCATTTTAATTTTATTTACCAAAATATAATAAAAATAGTGTGTGCCTCGTATTTATTTATATATTTATATAAATAGAATAAACGTAGTCGTTCAGACCAAGACATCCATCCCTCTCATGATATTTACTAATTGTAAATAGCTAAATATAATAAAAATACCGTGGGCCTAATATTTATTTATATAAATAGAATAAACGTGGTGGACCATACCAAAGCATCCATTCCTCTCATGATATTTACTAATTGTAAGTAGTTTTAATTTTATTTACCAAAATATAATAAAAGTATTGTGGGCCTCGTATTTATTTACATAAATAGAATAAACGTAGCCAGTCAACTAGAACAAGGCGTCTCGTGTCGTACTCGTTATTGTCTCTTGTACGGGTAAAAATAAATACAATCTTAACGACCCAAAAATACTAACTAAAATTTTATTTTAAATCAATTTCCAAAAACCATCAAAGTATGTCATAGTAAAAGAAAATAGTTATCAAAATACAATCTCAAAATCAATAAATGCCCAACTCGGTTGGATGCAATGCGATTATGTCAGGCCTTTTCTTTTTGAACTGAAAGTATCTGAAAAACATTTAAACATAAATCATAAACACAAAGTTTAGTAAGTTCCCTAAAATACCATATATCATACAAGCAACGGGCTTCGCCTAACAAGTATAACGGGCTTCGCCTTAACTCGCATAACGGGCTCCGCCAAATGAGTACAACGGGTCTCACCCTAACCCGCATAATGGGCCCCTCCCAATAAGTATCAGAGTATACCATGTTGGGTTTTCTAGGTTATAAAAAAAATTACATGTGGCGGAAAAAACACTTAAACCCTTAAGTTCACATGCAACCTAGAAATGATCTATGCTTTCTCTATTGATAGCAACTAACTATGAACATTAAGAAACCTTAGGAGAGAGGTTATGAAATCGAAATTCATATCAAATTAGGGTTACATACATTTTGATTATTGTTGCAAATAATCAAAGTAGAATCCTTCTTCAAGACCTTGAAAAACTAGTACTAAAGGGATGATACCTCTAATGGCTTGTACCTAAAACCCTAGTAGCAAGAAGACTTGATGAGAGAGGAGGCTTGAGCAAAATTTTGGCTCTTGTGAGAGTGTATGTGGTAGATGAAATAAGGCTCCCAAGGAGTCTTATTTATAGGCTATATGATAACCCTAGAAACCCTAATCTTGAATTAAATAATAATATTTCAAATTCAAGATAATTATCTAGTGTCCTTATCGTTAGGTGGCTTCTAGAAACCCTATCCAGGCTCTTCCAAGACCGTCCCTATAGAAAGGTTCTGGAAGCCTTCCTTTGTTCAACTTTTGAACAATAACAACCCAAGGCCATACACTTTTAATTAATTCAATTAATTCCGGTTAAATTTATAATTAATTCCAAATTAATTATTATTATTTCCAATTAATATATTAATCATGTAATATATTAATAAATTATTTATTTCAATTTCTAATTAATTTATTAATCATATAATAAACTAACAAATCAGCATGTTCCTCCAAAAGTCATTCTATCCAAATACTAGTTTTGAGGGCAACCCAAAAAAGACTTTGCTTGTAGTTTAATAATATACCAATTTAGTTATTGGCTTAGACACCTTAATCCAACAGCCTCCCACTTGGATAAGTTTGTAACTACAATTGCAAGTATAGACCTTGAAATAAACAACAAAGAGTGCTTTCCAAAGCCACTGCCAAACTCTGATTTAAATCAATTATTGGCCCTAAGATAAGTGATCATATACTCCTTCATTCTTCATGATATCGTATGGACACGAGACATGGATCAAAATCAATTTCATTATCCAAGATTAAGTTTCCTAATTTCCCGATTTGTAAAGATTTTACTGGACTTCAAATCGAACACATCAATTAGTCTTGGTTGGTCCCAACTCTATATAGTCAACATCAAATCACCGAGAGGCCTAATGATATCACTTTTCCTGTTAGGGCAAAAGGAACGAATTAAATTGACTACATAGTCATACAATTCACACATCAAATCACACATGGAATAACCCTTTATAACATCTAGTTACGAGATGTGTTTGAGTTAACCAATGCATAACTAATCTGTACACAATGAACTATATATCACTGTTTTAAGAAGAGAAGATATTATTGTCTTATAATTACTCATGACAAGATCCATGAAGTAATCTCTAAGCATGGGTTTATCCAATACTTAAAATCCATATTTTCAAAGTACTCATAAATGTTGTAGCAATTCAAATTGCAATGTCTTAACCTTAATCGACAATGTACAATCCATTAATGAAAGTCTTAATTCACTAATTACTTCCAAAAGTATGAACGATTGTGGAAGTTTTGAATAATTCAAATTACTCAGGAAGTATAAACATGCAAAAAGAAACACAAGAATAAATAATTGAATAAGACAGTATGATACTCATAAATAATTATCTATTATTCATTCACCAAATCAATTACATTTATTTTGTTACAAGTTTCAAACATATCACCTAACTACTAAAACTAATATCGTCTCTTAGACCTATTCTCCTAGCATGTTGGTAGTGTTTTACTATGCTTAGAGCCTTTGTAAAGGATCTGCAACGTTATCTTCTAATGATACTCTTTTCACCAGAAGGTGTCCTTGCTCCACCCGATGTCAAATATAATGGTAATTTCTATCGATATGCTTGGATATACCATGATCCTTTGGTTCTTTTATCAATGCAACCATGCCTTAAATATCACAGAACAGTTACATGGGTTCTTGAATAGTTGGAACGACTCTGAGATCTCCGATAAAGTTCTTCAGCCAAGTCTCTTCCTTCGATGCTTCACTCGCTGCAATATACATAGACTCACACGTGGAATCAACCACTGTGTCTTGCTTGGAACTTTCCAAGTAACTACGCCTCCATTCAACAAGAAAACCCAGCCAGACTACGAATAAAAGTTGTCTCGATTTGTTTGAAAACCGGCGCCACTGTAACTACTTACTCTTAACTTATCATTGCCACCAAGAACTAGGAACATGTCTTTCGTTCTTTGTTGATACTTAAGAATATTCTTCACCGCAATCCAATGGGCTCTGCCAGAATTTTCCTGAAATCGACTAACCATGTTCAAGGCATAAGACACATCAGGGCGAGAACATGTCATTGCATACATGATCGATCCTACAGCCGAAGCATATAGGACTCGACTCATGTCAGCTATCTCTTCATCAGTAATTGGACTTTAAGTCTTACTCAACTTGATAGTACTATGAATGGGCAATTCCCTTTTTTTTGAATTCTCCATACTAAAACACTTTAATATTTTATCCAAATATGTACTCTGGCTAAGATCAATAAGACGGTTCTTTCTATCCCAATGAATCCTTATTCCTAGAATATAAGACACTTCCCCCAGATCCTTCATAGCGAAACATTTCCCAAGCCAAGACTTAACTTCTTGCAAAGTTGGAATGTCGTTTCCTATAAGGAGTATGTCATCAACATACAAGACTACGAAAGTCACTATACTCCCACTAGCTTTGACATATACACAAGACTCATATTCACTTCTAGAGAACCCAAAACTCTTTGACTTTCTCATGGAAGCAAAGATTCTAGCTGTGAGATGCTTGTTTCAATCCATAAATGGATTTCTCGATCTTACACACCCTATCAAGAAACTTGGCATGTACAAAAACCCTCTAGCTGACTCATGTAGACGTCCTCCGATAGTTTCCCACTAAGGAGAGCGGTTTTAACATCCATCTGCCAGATTTCATAATCATGAAATGTAGCTATGGCAAGCATGATCCTGATAGATTTTATCTTAGCTACTGGTGAAAAGGTCTCATCATAGTCAATCCATTTGGTTTGAGTAAAGCCCTTTGCAACCAGCCTAACTTTATAGGTGTGTGTACCTTCCCATCTATGTTGGTCTTCTTCTTGAGGATCCATTTACACCCGACTGTCTTTCGATCAGGTACATGATCAACCAAGTTCCATACTTGATTATCATATATGGACTGAATCTCACTGTCCATTGCCTCCTTCTATTTAGTAGCCTCAAGGTCTGTCATTGCTTCCTTGTAGTTAGTAGGTTCATCTAAATTTAACATTGACAATCATTGATAAAAAGTGTCACCATCCGCAGTAATATGGAAAC